TTTTGACGACCTATTCCCAACCTTGTCCAGCACTAACACGCCTAACTTACTAGTCTATTGTCGTGAGACGATAGTATTATTATATCTACCGTGCAATCCGCCACCTTTTTTTTACAATTTCTAGCTTCCAGCAGCACATGGCTAGCTATAACAATCAACAATTCGTCCATGCGTACGAATGTTGTTTTTTCTCGTCGTCCATTGTCAACGAAATTACAAAGCGTAATGCGATTATTCCGAGCGAATTCAGCAACGAAATGCTAAATTTCTTCGAATTTAATTCAACTGGGCAGCAGCATCCGCATCCCTCCCACCTATTAATGCAGTGCGTTTCATAATTATAAGGTCACCTGAAATTTTGCATTTCCGGGGCAAGCAACAGACTGGCAATTTTTCTCAGTATTATCCAGCTTATTCCTCGCTATGAAAAATCCCACGAGCGAAATTTTGGCGGGAGCAGCTTTTCTTTCAACTTTTTTTATAATTATTTTTCAGTTTTTGCGCCGTTTCATAATTATAAGGTCACCCTGTGAAAATGAATACTATTATCAGAAACAACCAACCTGCTTGTGGAACTGAATGTTTGTTACAAACACATCCATCAGCCGAATTTATGGAATGTTTTGCATTCGTCTGTTGAAGAAAAGGTAAAGTTTATGCATTTCGTGTTGGGAGTCTATCCAAAGCACTTCGGTAAATCCATAGCTCCCCTTATGGGATAATTGAAAAGTTTCCATGTCTTCAGATATTACACAAGTTCCGAACATCCGCAAAAGCTTATATAAGTATTAGAGAGAATGATGAGGCGATTAACAGGTTTTGAACTTCGTGGCTCACTGGTCCCATATATTGTGCTTCACCTGAAGGAGGTTGTTTTTATGCTCCAGCGATCAGCTGTGGTGCTCTTTGCTTTGGCCTAGCTTTTCAGCGAGTAGGGGCGTCTTTGGCAACGACGAGGGACAGTTTCAAAAAATCCAACTGCAATAGTGCGATGTTTCACGAGTTCAGGTTCAATCTCTTCCAGTGTACCCAATGCGTTTGATTGTACTGAAAAATGAAACCCTAATTTTGCATTTAAAGCAACAGTTCAGGAACGGTTTCGCGGGAAAAAACCACCAATAATGAAGTTGTAGATGAAAACCAGACGATTAATGTATGAAAAACTGGAAAAAAAACGTCGGGGAGGGTCTTAGACAGGTACTCTCCCTCTGCCGCTCAGCACTCAGCAATGGGGATAAAGGACGCACGTTGGACGAGTTGTCTGAACGTGCCCGCTGTAAACGCGCTCCATTTTTCAATCAATTTTCCCTGTGGTCCCAAAACGAGCACGATTGCCGACGCGTCCAATGACGGCCGGCAAGGGGGCGGGATTGGGGAAATCCCCAAGAACACCCATGTTTGAGGGACTTTCCACCCTGTTTTTGAGTTTCTGAGGTAAGTTCGTTTATTATTTCCACTGCATATGTTCTTCACTAGGGCTCGTGTATCCCTCAGTAGTAGTGGCATTGAAATTTTCGGACCCTCCCTGAACTGTTGCTTTAATAAACAGCCTTGATACTTCTGAGTAGATGTGAAGTGCGTGGTGCATCCCCGAAGCTGACTAGAGCAGAGATGAAGTTAATGCATGTTCATAAATTTTTGTAACAGCCCAGGTTCAACATCCAGTTTGTCCTCAACACGTTGACCATAGAGCCAGTTTAGGCTTTTCACGCAGGCGGCGTAGACCAGATGTTATTTTGAAGCCGCCGTCGCCTCACATCAAATCAATGGATTTTGAAGTGTAAAGAAGCAAAACTTGAATACTACAAAATGTTCCCGACAGTATTTAATGTGTTAATTTTAAAAGAAGGTACAATTGTAAAAATTTGATCAAAATGATGTGTTATGGCAATGAAAAGACAAGCTTTTTCGGCATATAACTATGAAATTCGAATTGTTTCGACATAAGCTTAAAAACTAAGAAGGTGGGCCAATTTTCAAAGCTTCTTAGTTTCTTTGTTTGTGATCGAATAGCTTCCAAATTTCGCCATAATGATACCTATATGCTCACAAGTAATAAACAATAGCTAGAAGAAAAATTTCTCCACGGGGAAAAATTCAGGTCCGAAAGGGTTAAAGATTCGAATAATCAGACCCTTTATAGTCTTTTGTGGTGTGATATATAGAACAAATGCAAAAAAAAATTCGAAAAGAAGCACAGCATACGCGGGTAAAAAATAAATTAAATATTTGAGTGCGGACTGCTGCGCTGCACGCGGTTCATACGGTGCTCAGAGTGCGGAAGGCATGAGCCGCTTCACGTAGCTGCAACCGGTAATAACTTCGTATAGCATACTTTACTTATCCCTTAGCTTGCGTCTGGTGGTGGGGGCCGGCCTCTCAACCAGTACACTGCTGTGGGTGCCATTGGAGTACGAACGCCCTGAATGAAGTGTCTCCATTCTGGTCGATTAGCAGCAATACATCTAGCATGCTCAACACTGCACCTCAGAGCCCTAAGGTCTTCCTCAACTTGCTTCAACCAAGTCTTTTTTGGAGCCGTCCTCTGAACTTTCCACTGCGCAGGGCGTCTTCTCCACAGGAGCATATTAGGTATTCTGTCGTGACCCATCCTGCACAGGTGACCGAACCATCGTAGCCGTCGCAGTTTCAATTGTTCCTCGATTGTGATACCGGCATAATAAATAAAGGATAAAAAGGATAAAGCATTTGCCGTTGATCAATCCCTTTTTGGGATGCGGCACGCATTCTACTTCCATTTGTACATTCGCAGTGGCGTTTGAATGCGATGTGGCCTATACAATGACTTGCGGGGGCCAGCCGATGTACAAGTCAGTGTTTTTATCCTCCCAGACAAGTCTGGTACCAATTAACCGACCCCGGAGGGATGGAAGGCTTGGTTGGCCCGGGCGACTCACGACCCAGGATTTGATCCCGGACCGCTCGCGTGGTGAGCGCGCCACTTGTCACTACCACCACTTCCGCCCCCATAAAGAATAAATATTCGTATGAATTTCACAAAAACATGTGATCGCTCTAATTGCGGCCGGATTATGAGAAAGGGAGGCCGATGAAATTCTAAGTGTCATGAATCACTGCTGCACGTGAAAAGCCATGAGAAAAACATTAGAATACAGGAGTTGGCTCTCCACCTTTGTCGTGCAATCCCTCCAAGTTGTTTCATAACTCCTCGAAGCCGGGACCAATGGATGATTTGGCCGAGAGCGAAATGTACAATGCTTGCGCGATGGCTCTCCCATGACAGGAAACTGTACTAGTCGTCGTCCACGTGGTTGCGAAACAAATGTGCTTCCCTGTTCACATGCACTCGAAGTGCAATGAATACCGCTAACTTCTCATCAACTCATGTGGTTTATTCGGAACGTTTGCTCTCCTGTAGCCGAGGGAGCGTGATGGGGCTTGCAGTTTCTCATAACTCTAATTTAACTCCAGCGTGGCCTCGTTGCCCTGCTCCAGCTCTTTCCAGTTATTCTCGGAGGCCGTCCTTCTTGTATCTCTCTTTGAAATCTCACATTGTCGGAAACATTGTTTATCTCACAGAAAAATAGCCTCGTTACTGTTCGATCACTCTCGCTTGGTGGCCGCTTGCGCTCACAGTCAGTGCTTGATCGAACCACGAGTCAACCTTCACTTCTGCCTACTCGTGGAATACTACAGCTGCAATTCCCTATGTACTTATAGAAATTTTCAACAAGAAATAAGTCTACGCTTGAAAAAAGTGACGAACTGAAGTATACTGCCCAAAGAGTCTTTATAATGTTGAGCACAACGTTGCAAAAAATCTAACGAGACTATCGCATCACGCCCCGTCATTGGAATGCTTCCCTGGGCCTTCATTTTCTGAATTCTCGTTTAGTTTTGCGGGAGGGGGGAGCGTTATAATAGTAAGCAGTGGAACGAGAAGACAGTTTCAAAAAAAAACCTCGAAAGATTGTTATTGATATTGATAAGTGCTCAGCAGATTTGCGGTGCTGGAGATCAGTGACAATGTGTACCTGTGAGATGAACTAGTATTTTACACATATCCAAGCTTGTCTGCAACAATTTCTTTTTCGCTGTCCTGAACACTGTCCTGAACATCACTGCAAGCGTCCATTTTAGCTTTCATTTTCTGTATTCTGTATCAATCTGAATGGAAGTTGAATGTCTAATGCATCAAAAGCAATAATGAAACTAAATGTTTTATTTCTTTCATTGACATAATGGGGCTATAGTTGAGCCTCATGTGATGATTACTTCTGTTCAGCGAATCGATTAACGATAAAGGCTCCTTTTTAACATGCTTTATTGGTGAATTTTTGCAGCACTAGCTACTTCTTTAGGCTTATAAAAACAGAAATCTTACAACAAATATCTTAATAGACGTCAACTAATCGGGCTGGTACTTTAACACATTCACGCCGATGGCCGCCCATATGGGCTGCCAACAACATGCGCTCCTGGGACGATGGCAGCCCATATGGGCTGCCAACTGATAATCGCTTGCCAGGCGCTAGGAATGGACAGATAGGTGGGCAAACCTCGTAATCGAGTGTAAAATGCTTTTAAATTCCTTCACGGGGAAAGTGAATAAATGCTCTCTTTTCGTAACCACTATTTGTCGTTCTGATCGAAATCCTACTGTTATATGTTTAGATAATCTTTACGCATTGGACATTGCAGAAATTATTTTGTGACATTCATGTTTTTGTTCATTTACAAAACAAAATCTGCGGTTATGTGGTGAGGCGGCGGCGCCCACAAAATCGCGTCCGTCCCACGCGACCGAAAAGTGGAAAAGGGGCGTCGTCGTGAATGTTTTAAGTTCAACGTTCACATTTCACAAGCACGATTGGTGACAATAAAATGATGTCCACCTTACCCCGTGTACAGTCGCTGGCCAAATGGAGAAAATGAGACTGAGTAGCACGTGACCACTACACGGTAGTTGCGTAGAAGCTGTTTCATTTCATTAGTTTCAGGTAATAGAGTTACCATAAATGCGATCCGTAAAGTTCGAGCACCCGTTTCAAAACAAAGAGGCGAAAAATCAGGGAGAGAAGAGAGCACCTGACGAAAGCGCTTCTCACAACACTTCGTCGACGCGGTTCTTCTTTTTCCATCGAACTAGGCTGATTATTCTGGTACTGTCAACACTTTGCCTTACGATGCTTCAAAGCAACACATTAGCGCTCAATTTTACCATCATCTGTATGGATGACGTCATCGAGAGTCAGTGGTCAAATTCATCTGGAGGTAAGGGATTGGAATCAATTAATAGAATTTCGATCTCTTTTCAAGGTTCCCTTGGGGGGCGCTACCAGTTTGAAACTCGCCCAAATATTAGGTTGGTAACTTTGAAATGTCGCTTCCTTTAGTGGCTTTGTTTCTCAGCTGAAACTCAACCTCGTAATATGGGAGACCATTCATTCGAGAGAGCGATTCAGTGCGCATATTGCGAAATCTTAGGCGCCACTGAGCGGATGTTCTTCGAGCCAAAACTTTTGCTCGAAGATGATTGATCAGAAAACATCGCCTGAGCGTGTATATAAAAACAGCCAACGAATCCCACTCATTACGTGCAAAACATTGAGCAGCAACACTCAGTCTCTGATGCACTTTCAGCTATGGTTTCAGCTCTTCCAAGACTGAGGTAAAGGACCTGAGACGAAGGTCGTGGATTTTGACCTCTAGCTCTAGATGACGGAGAAATAAAGAAAGCCAACGAATTGAGTCCTCGACAAACCGCACAAAACTTGCATGGAGATTCAGTTGTGTCAACAGAAAAATTTAAAAGTTCCTACGTGCGACTGTTAAGGCCTTTCAGGATAGAAAATGGGTTCGGCCTATTCTGAGCGACACGAGCAAGCAGTACTGGTTGCCAATACTTGAACTCTGCTGCATAACTCCAAGAAGAAGAAGGTTCCTGACTTCGTTGAAAGCGTGTTTTACAGAAGGATGTTCCCCGATAACAAAGTGAGAAGATGGCCGTGGTTGGCAACAGATGGGCAGCTGAGGGCCTCTCCGAAACCGGACAGCCACAGAGAAAAGTCTTGCTACAGTGTGGTGAAGCAGTATAAGAATGGCTTACTATGGAGAGCTGATTGTGCGTCATATAGTTACAGCTAAACCCTGCGCACAACATCCCGCAGGCGAGGATCGGGCTCTACGTAGTCAAAGGGCAAATTCGGTCATTGAAAATTTTGGCACGATAATGCAAGATCACATGTCGCGAAAATTTTGCAACAAGAAATCGAGGAGTTGGGCTGGGACGCTCTGCCTCTCGCGCCATATAGCTCAGACCTGGCACCGTCCAACTATCACTGACCTAGGTCAGCGCAACACTCCTTAGCAGCAAATAAATTCAATAACCGCGACGACGTCAAAATTTGAGTACCTAACTTCTTCGAGTCGTACCTGGAAGAGTTCTACGAGGTAGACCTCCATGCTTGCATAACAAAAGGTGGAGAGTGGATGACACACATAAAGGAAATAAATTAGGTTGATAAGCTTTGGTATAGCTTTTATACTTAAAATAATCTTTGATCAAAAACGACATTTCAAAGTTACCAACCAATAATATTTCTATGTGTTTGCAGTAAGGGTTGTACAAAGCAAACTGGATGGATGCATGCCTCAAGATCCTTCTATTATATCAACTATATGGTGATATGCAGTTGTTGGGCATTTCAAATGCAACATTTCAGAGACACACTGGCTACAGTCGCCGTCTCACACCAATGCACTATTTTCTGCAATCGCAATTGGTTCACTGGTTGGAACTTTGCCACTTATGATGTGGGTTGCCCAAATGGGACTAAGGTACATGGAAAGGTCTGCTCTAATAGCCGATGTTAAACAATATTGATCGTTTTTACGATCATAAATCTATGACAAAAATGGCACATAATGCAACATAGACAATAGGGATCTCAAGAAAGTGATACTGTCACGGAGTCATACAAAAGGCTTCGATTACATGACTCTCAACTTACTTCTCACCCTGAAGTCAGCATTCATACTAAGGCTTTTGGGAGAATAGGAGATCAGAATGATAGAAGAATCTGTGGGAAGAATTAGGAACATATTGAGTTGATGAATAATTATTGCGGATTTTTTTTTCGCGCCTTCTTTTTTTCAGAAAGACTGGCGTTTTGTTATTATTTTTTCATGAAAATATTCTTCTCTCTTTCATTAACAGAAATGCTTATCGAAAATCATCTTCATATTCGCCACATGCTCTACCACTTCGAGAAAGGTTGGAAGGCGGCAGAGTCATTTCGCGATCTCAACGAACTTTTCGGCGAGGGAACAATCAGCAAAAGCCAAGTTGAAAGATGGTTCAAGAGGTTCAAAACGCCACATTTACCGACCGAAGCTCCTACAGATCACAACTTCAACAAGACGTTAAAAAACTGGCAAACGAACAAAATTTACGACGAGGAGCGTGGATCGTCTTCAAAAATCGTAACTTCTTCACTCGTAGAATCGACCGATTGCCAAGCAAATGGGAAGCATTCTCGAAGGATGGTGAACATGCTTAGGAACAATCACTTAAAGGCATGCCCCAGGATCACATTGGTGTGGCTCTTGCACACGAATGCGAATGTATTGGTGCGAAGTGGGCCGGCAGTAAAGAAAAAAGGAAAAGAATCCGTCAAAAACGCTTAGGTTAAGGGCTCACTCACCTTCCTAATCGGCTGTGCTATGAGAGACTAAGCGCGGAGAGGAGAGTATGGGCGAGAGAGCGCTACAGATGAGAGAGCGCCAGACAACAGCCTGATAAGAGAAAAAAGTCTGCAGCTTGAGCAGCTTACTTTGCAAAGGCCCAAGCGCTCTTATTGGTCCATACTTCCTGCTTAAGGATGCGATCACAACCTCTGCCTGGTTCGCCTTCAAACATAATATTTTGATCGTTCCCGCTGAATAAAATTGTTGTAAAAATTCGCAATAATTACGCATCAACGCAATATTTCTTGACCGCGAGCATAGGGTAATGCATAGGGACACAAGGTTTCTTAGTACCCCTTCGCTCCAATGACATTATTCCATTTGTATTTTATGTGTGTGCATTCATAGCTGATTCGCCAATGCTCCTGATTTTCTTCCCCTAACTACCTTTCAAATGAGTGAATTTAATCCAGGTTCTTCTAATTATCTCTACTTCCTCACCTCCTATTCGTCCTTCTAATCAATACGTATATCATTGATTTACGCTTATGTTCCAAGCCTCCTCAATGCTGAGCATGGAAGGGAATTGAATGCTCCTCAGCTTTTCGTGTTTTGATACATAGTTTCAGAAAAACACTGACAATCTACGGTCTGAACTCAGCCATCGCTACATTTATACTTCCGTTTGCTGTTAACTGGGGCTTTGTATTCGTGCTGATTGTACGTCTTCTGCAGGTATTTCCGGTGACCACCTTCGAGGTTCAACAGAAATTCAATCGTATCATTTCAGGGGTTTTCGATCGGTATCAATTTCTCAGCGTTGGGGGCAATAGCTGCGCAATGGTCCGCGCTTCGAGAAGCTGGCACGTACATTGCTGTCATGTCAATTCATGTTCAGGTATCTTTGACAATCTTAGAACAACCAAATTAGCCATTGCCAACCTCAAAATATTCACCCGACAGTCTCCAAGTTATCCCTTGTTGGAACCTCGGCATTATAGGTCGAACTGTTTAATTCTTCTGTAGCCAAATGAGGTTGATAGTTGGAACCTTTTCATTGAATGGCCCGACGTTTCGACTATTCATCTTCATTGGAGTCCTGAAGGTAACTCGAAGCTTTTGATTTTTTAAGCTGCCCGACCAAACATCTCCCCCTCTAGCGTTTGAGAGCACATTAGGATCACCGATATGATAAAGAACTCACCAATGATTCCACCAGCCCTGCGGAGCAGCTCACGCCTTGTTGGTAATCTTAATAGGTAGGTAAATGAACTTCATTTATCAGGTTGTCGGAGAAGTCTTTGCGCATTTGGCAACTTTTTTCAAAATTGTTTTTCTTCTTTAGTGCAGCCAACAATTGCTGAATACATACACCACCATAATCGTCGAAACATTGCTCTTCAGCAGGCAACTTCAGGTTGCCGGCCGTTCAGAAATCCCGAGTCTTTGGGGCGAAAAGCTCAAAGAGGTTGACTCCGAGTAGGTCCGGATCATCGAACTGCCCTATTTCAGTACCTTCGACGGCAACAGAAGCGTATGGTAGCCCGTCTCTACCAGGTTTGCTGTACACACTAAGTGGGTCAGATCATTCTATAACGAGCCTTGGAGACCTTTCCTGAACCTTCTTCGTAATTCGTGGGCGAGCGTTGCCGACATAAAGTAAAGTTTCTCCGATTTTCCATGCCGGGAAACCAATCCACTTGCTAACATTATTGTTCACCAATAGCAGTGGACTTCGTTGGCAGCAGCTCTCCGTGAGCGAAACATTTGCAGCCTCATGAGCTTTCAATGTTGCCTCCCAGGTTGCAGTTCTCAAATCGGCGTTGCAATCCTTTGTTCTACGCATCCGAGCCAGTCGTGCTTTCGCGTGCGGTTTATCTGAGGATCCCACTTCTTGACACCACCAACAAAGTTGGCGGATCAAGCGATAGACGGGCGGCAAATCAAAATGTTCTTGCAAAATTTAATGGTCTCAATAGCCTGTGGTCAGTCAGATCTCAAAATATCCTTTCGCCATAATTTCACTTCTTTTAGAGGCGATATTGAGGAACGGCCATTGTGGTCTGGTAGCACTGAAAGAGCTCCGCCAATTACCGTGCATTGCACTAAGCACTCTCTCGAATTCAGAATACACTCGTCAATGAGGATGGCAGGCCGACCAGATTTGTGGTTTTTTCTCAAGTATCTGGAACTCGGCAACCAAATAATTGGCATATTGTGAAAGATAGTTCGGAGGTTCATCACAACACGTAGAACTCCCACTGCTTCGCTTCAATCGACGCATTTGTGGGCTTATAAAGGCAGGAGCAGTCGAACATACCTTCAGTGAAAGGCGATTTTTAAGCTTCAAACGCTGCGAAATGCTACGACAGAAATGCTGTGGAGAGAGCATTAACCACCGCTCACATGCGTTTAACAGTGAATGTTTCAAAACGATCCCAAAAGATTTGCAAGGTGAACAAGAAAATGCGCAAGAACTTTCCCGACAACCTAACAATAACTACACTAACAGGGTGTGAGCTGAATGCTCCGCAGTGCTGGTGGAATCATTGGTGAGTTCTTTATCGTATTGAGTGATTCTGATGTGTTCCCAACACGAGGTCGGAGACGCTAGAGGAATGCTACGACAGAAATGCTGTGGAGAGAGCATTAACCACGCTCACATGCGTTCAACAGTGAATGTTTCAAAACGATCCCAAAAGATTTGCAAGGTGAACAAGAAAATGCGCAAGAACTTTCCCGACAACCTAACAATAACTACACTAACAGGGTGTGAGCTGAATGCTCCGCAGTGCTGGTGGAATCATTGGTGAGTTCTTATCGTATTGAGTGATTCCGATGTGTTCCCAACACGAGGTCGGAAACGCTAGAGGGGGAGATGCTTGGTCGGGTAGCTTACAAAATCAAAAGCTTCGAGCTATCTTCAGGCCTCTGAAGAAGATGAAAAGGTCGAAACGTCGGGCCAATCAATAAAAAAAGTTCTATCAACCTCGCTTGGCTACAGAAGAATTAAAGATCATTCGATAGCATTTACATAAGTCGAATCATGAGTTCTGAAAACCATAGACCTCAAAACGAGTGGTTACGAATGCACATAGGTTGATAGTGTAGTTAAAAGGGTAAGGGAGCAGCCACCATTGCCTTCTTTCTGCTCGTCCCACGAAGAAGGAATGTGGCAAACTCAGGGTGATTTGGCTGGAAATTGGTCTACATCAAAAAGGAGTTGTTGGTGACTTCAGAAAGAAAAAACTCTACAAGTAACAGTCGAGCCTATGCAATACTGACAGTGATGCGGCAGAATGCAGCATTTGCCTGCTATTTTATCATTCTTGAAACGTTAGTATCTCATCCTACTATATACCAACAATGTCCCGTCCCACCCCACATAACACTTGTAAGTATGGTTGCTCTGGTGTCAACGCGAGCTGGGTAACGGAATCGACGACTTTTGCGTTCTGACGCGCCTTATCAGCCCTTATCAGTTGTATCACTTTCAATCACCCACCAACAATGTCCCCGTCCCACCCCACATAACACTTGTAAGTATGGTTGCTCTGGTGTCAACGCGAGCCAGGTAACGGAATCGACGACTTTTGCGTTCTGACGCGCCTTATCAGCCCTTATCAGTTGTATCACTTTCAATCACCCACCAACAATGTCCCCGTCCCACCCCACATAACACTTGTAAGTATGGACGCTCTGTGTCAACGCGAGCTGGGTAACGGAATCGACGACTTTTGCGTTCTGACGCGCCTTATCAGCCCTTATCAGTTGTAACCACTTTCAATCACCCACCAACAATGTCCCCGTCCCACCCCACATAACACTTGTAAGTATGGTTGCTCTGGTGTCAACGCGAGCTGGGTAACGGAATCGACGACTTTTGCGTTCTGACGCGCCTTATCAGCCCTTATCAGTTGTATCACTTTCAATCACCCACCAACAATGTCCCCGTCCCACCCCACATAACACTTGTAAGTATGGACGCTCTGGTGTCAACGCGAGCCAGGTAACGGAATCGACGACTTTTGCGTTCTGACGCGCCTTATCAGCCTTTATCAATT